TGAAAGTTAAAATAAAATTAAATATTTTCATTATATATTATAAAAAAAAAATTAATTTAAATATATATTTATTTTATTTTATTTTAATATTTATTTGTAATAAAAAACTTTATTATTAATTTTTTTGTTAATTTCAAAATAAAATATTTTTAAAAGATTTATATATATATTAATAATATCAGTTTTTTAATTAATTAAGCAAATAAAGATCAATGGGTCAATAGTATAATAGGTAGTGCTCACTGGTTTCCAAATGCATGTTCCTAGTTCAATATCCACAAGAGGCAAAATGCATAAAAAATTACCTTCATTTGTGGATTTACCGAATTGTTACAAATGTTATATTCAGATATTTGAATCTGACTAAATTCAGTTAGGCTGTATAAAAATAGGACTTTTGGTCTTTCAAACAATTGCAGGCTGAAAACAGATCGAAGCAAGAAAGGTTGCATAAGAAAAGACGTCTGATTTAATTCTGATAAAAATCCAAAAACTCATCCTCCTAGTATGGCAGATTCCATAACACAAAGAACACTCTAGCCTAAGGCTATTCCAATCTGATGTTTGTTTAAAAGAAGAGAACCTCTAAAGGAAATCTGAAGCTTCAGGTAGTGACAAGAAATACAAGTATCTTCTTTAAGGAACTAGACGAAAAGTATTTGGGTTATCCAAATATTCTAAATCAATTTTGCAAGATATAGAATCTTTGATAGTGAGCAGTTATAAGGTTGTTGAATTAGGACTTAATAGAAAGGTTGGGTTTAAACTGATAGTGGGACTTCCTACTCCTTGAATTTGTTCTATTTAATATGTAAGTTCCATCTCCATGGTGATAAGTTTATATAGCTGGATTAAATAAGTAGTAGGAATAAGTTAACTTAAATGGATCTTTGATATAATATATAATTTGTTGGATATAAATAACTTAATAAAAACCAATATGTTTAGTACTTTTCATCTTAAAAAAAAAAAATTAATTAAATAAATAGTATTTATTTATTTATTTATTTTTTTATATCTAATCAAGTTATATGTTCAAGTTTATTAGTTTCAATTCTGTAATTGAAGTACCATAGTATGGATATTATATAATATATATAGTGTTATTTATATATATACTATCAGTTAAACTTATAATGCAAATATAATATATCCATCAGCAACTAATAGTCTCTTGATGTGATTAAGGAAGATAAACAAGTTGCTCAATTAAAAAAAAATATTTTTTATTATTTTAAAATCTCAAAGCCAGCCCTTTATCAGAACTGTTACCTCGGCTTAACCTTTGTAATTCTAAGGTGGAAAAAAATTATTATTTTTTTTAAGAAGAAAAAATAAAAAATAAAAAGGAAAGGAGAAAAATTTGCATTAATAAAATAAAAACCCATCAACACCAATCACTAGTCTAATAAGAGCTTTCTTTGATTTTAAGAAGAAAAGAAATTAATACAAGAGAGAAAAGGGAAAACTTCAAATCACTTCTTATCAAGAGAACACCTCGGTATCTTGCTCTTTATCTTATTCAATTGCATTATCAGTTATATTGTAGTATACATAGATTACATATAGGTATGTGTCTTGTTTATATTTTCTTTTACATGTTGATTAACCAGTTCAAGATTTCAGCCAATTATCAACCGATGATTCTGGTGTAACAAAAAATTCAGGATCAAACTGAGATAGGCAAAATTCCTCAAAAAACAAAGAAAAATTGAATATACTTAAAAGTATTATTACAAATATATATAAATGGTGAAAAAAGTTTATATACCTGAATAAATAGACTCTTATTAGCTTATTCACCTGTCTGGATCAAAGGAGTTTATTTATAATGGATCCAAGATTTCCATGTTACTTGGGGATATATTCACTGATTGGTTCAATTAGCTTATTCGCTCATTCCAAACAAAAGATCTTATGATAGACCCAAGGTTTTTATGGATTTTGGAAAATGTATTTGCTAGTGATTCACTTTCTGAAGTTCCAGACCTAAGGAAAATATAGTAGAAAGTATTTTTCAACAGGTTTTTTTTTCCTAGTAAGGTTTTCTTGCTGTCAACCAAATGGGTAAAGTTTTGTTTATTTTGTTGTTAAAATATATAAAGTTTTTCAAAGAAGGAAAAGTAAACAAGTGGAAGAGACATTAGTCTTTAGAAAATAATGTTTTTAAGAAAAGTGTGTAAACTTTATTATCAAAAATAAAGAAATATTTTTGAGAACGTTTGTTTTTTGGATTAACAAGAGGATTAGTGAAAAGAGTTAAGCAAATAGTATTTAGTTTTTTTAAAATATATATATATAGTATATTTATTTATTTATTTATTTTTATAATTAAATATAAAAAATTTTATATAATAAAATCTTTTTTTTTTGTTTCTAATAAGCCCAAGTATAGATTTATCCCTGTGATATAAGTTGATATTTAAATAAAAAAAGGTGGATTGGTTATGATTAAACTTATAATTAGTAGTAATATTGGTATATATAAGACCATAAATATATGGTGATAAATATAATAATTCAATAAAAACCATGGCATTAAATATTTGTCACTTTAAAAAAAAAAAAAAATCTTTTTTTTTAAATTTTATTTTTTTTTTTGAATTTTTAAAAACTTTTATTTAATTTTTAATTTTAATTATATTAATAATAAAAAAGTAAATAAAACATATATACTATATATACATATATTTATATTTATTTATTTATATAATATAAAATTAATAATATAATTATTATTAAAAAAATTAACTTATTTTTAGTATTTCATAAGTTAAAAAAAAATATTTTGAAATTTTTAAATATTTAATTAAAAAATAATAATAATAATAATTGATTTTTTTAAAAAAATTAATAATTAGAAATTAACAATTATAAGATTAATTTTTTAATATTATTTTCAAGAAAAATTTTTTAAAAGATAATATTAATATTTTCTAAATATTATTATTTTAATAAAAATTAAATAGTATAGCTAATTATAAATAATAAAAAATAAATATAACAATAAGTCTAAGAAATTTAAACATTGATATTATTAAAAAAAATAAAATTCTTAATAATAAATAAAATATATTATCTTTATTATTTTTATATATACATATTTATATTTATAATTTAATTTTTTTTTAATTTAATTTAATTTTTTATATTTTATTATAAGAAAGATAACACAATTTGAATTTATAATACATGATATTATAGAAATAATTTATAATCAATAACCTTATGCAATAACTAGATATTAATCCTATCTAATAATAAACAATTTATTTTTTCCATAAATAATGTTTTAGAGACCTTGTGCTGTTGACAAATAAGTTGAATAAGATTATATGATAACAATTATCTTTTTTAATTGTTTAATTGTGCTGTTTCAATAAATATGGGACACCAACCCGGTTGTGTGGGATTTTTCCAAATTTATCAAGATTTGTCGTTAGTTTATTGCACGATATACAGTAATAGTAAAGTATAAAAAAAAATAGGGTAAACAAATCTATCATAAATAGAGTTTTGCAGATTTGTGTCCATCAGGGGTGCCAAGAATGTTAGTCATACTGTAAGTTAGACTGCGGCGGTTGAGTGAGTCTCCACATATTTTCGTTGTAATGATCGGGTGAGTAATTTTAAGTTTGTTGGAAGACCTTAATTAGACATCGTTAGAAATTGACATTTTGAACTATGTAAAAATTTTTTAATATCAACTTAATGCGTTGCACACAATTTAAGAACAAGATGTGTGGTCACAGTAATCAATGATATGGATATAAAAAAATGCTACCAATTAATTATAATATTTGGTTACGCGAAAATACAGTTTGCATTTGCCGCAGATTTGCTGCGTGGATAGGGTTACGCAGCACAATGATTTCATTTATAAAAAGATACATAAATCACCTCAGAAGAATGAACGTTTTCTCTTTACACAAGGAAGAATGAATAAAGAAGAAATAGAAGTTCTACAAACAATCTACAATAATGATTTTACAATTTCTAATACTCGACCTGTTTGGTATGGGGTAATGGTGTCGGCCGATGAAGAGAAACAAAATTTAGTTACCGAAAGTTCACATTCTCAACAAAAAAACGAGATTTCAATTGTTGACCCACAATACGTTCAAGTTTTATTTAATTTACCATTGGAATATCCTTCGGTTCCTCTTGAAATCCGAATTGTTGGTCCTTTGTTATCGATTAATCAGTTATCATCGGACTTTTCATCCAGTTCACCGACTTTAAGTGACCGTAATGATCCAATCACGAACAATGAAGATGGTCTGAAACATTTAGAGAAACTCTTAAAAGATTGTGCGACCGAGTTGGCATCACGGGAGGAACCTGCGATGTATGAAATTGTAGAATTGACTAGAAATTGGTTATGGGACTACCAACAAAAATCGTTAACTCATCGACGTCATCAATATTTTTCAAATCGGTGGATTGGGGAATGGCTGGATAAGTTGTTTGATTGGCAAATTACTTCTTATTCCCCATCCAGAGTCATGGATACTCAAATTAAGGCAGAACTTAAAGTTATCGAAGGTGTAGAAGAAGAGAGCGGTGAAAAGATTGAAATTGCTAAAGTCCGAAATTATTTGAGAGAGAATCTTTGGGATGTTAACAAGGCTGTGCAGTCGATCGTTAAAAGTATTCGTGATGACACCTTGGAAAATGCATCGCACATTAAAGAAGTCATGGAAGACAGTGACGATGGGAAAATTTGCGCGATATGTTTTGACACTTTTCCTACTGAGGAAATAACTACTTTTATGCCTTGTGATCATAGTACATGTAATGATTGTCTCACTCAATACCTCACTCTTAAAATATCTGAGAATCAAATTTTCTCAATGAGTTGTCCTGGAGCCGTTAGATGTAAAACTTTAGTAGATCCAACAATCATTGGTCGATTGCTTTCTGAACAGCTGATAAGCAAATATTATTCTTGCCTTCGTGATTCCTTTAATCAACTTCAACAACACCCCGAAGTTCCTAAATCCCACGTTCAACAATCCGTCAAAAAATTCTTTTGGTGCATCAGTCCAAAATGTGATCATTCGTTATCCGTTAAAGTGCAATCTCTTACGCAAAATCCGCCGTTACTCCATTGTTATGGATGTAGCACGACCTGGTGTTCGTCATGTGAATTAGTTGGTGGTCACTGGCCATCAACCTGTGTGGACCACGAAACGTACCTCCGCACAAATCACGCGGTAAAACTTCCCCCCACTAAGCTTCCCAAGAATTCAATTTCCGATATCTCAACTAAACCATGCCCCAAATGTCATATACACATATCTAAAAATGGTGGATGCATGCACATGTCGTGTCAAATGTGTTGTCATGAATTTTGTTGGGGCTGTTTGAAAGAATGGTCCATGCGTTCTCACCCTGGATACTTCACTTGTGATATGATGCTGAACGGTACGGATGATGATGGTTCCCAAGTTATTACCACCTTTTCGGTGTTTGATCTGGACGACTTACTGACTACCCCAGGACAATTTCAGAAGAGATTCAAGAGAGCTGTGATTTTATATTCTACTTCTTTCAAACAAGAACAAATAGAACTAGATTTACTACTCAAGCACTACAGAAATGGATCCGACACCCGGGATATCAGGAAATTGAGAATTGAAATCACGCAGTCATTGGTACAATTGACTTATATAATGAAGTTTGGTTCCATGGGATTTTTTACGAAATCCGATAAGGACGAACTAGAGGTAAAAAAAGGCGTGGAAATTATGCAGAGATTGGAGTTCGGGTTGAGCACCATGGAAAAGTTGAGAGATCAGGTGATACGAATTGATCGGGCAAACATTGGAAAAGAGGAAGGCAGGGATAAATGCTACATGATGATGAATGAGGAGAAATTAAAAGGTTTGAGAGAAGAGATAGAGAGATGCGAGGAGAGGTTAGAAAACAATATCAAGAAATTGGCAAAGATTCTGCATTATATGGACAAAATATGATATGATTCGTGATTCATTCATTCATTCATTCATTCATTCATTTATTTATTTATTAATATATTAGAAATAGTTTTACATTTTTACGAAATTCCTAGATAAAAATTCAGAAAAATGACACCAGTTGTTTACGAAGCTAATGGAGAAGAGAAGATCACTTTTTTCGTAATTATAATGCTATTTTTTATATAATATTGTAAATGATAAAATGACTTATACTGTAGTATAGATGTATATATTGAGATTTTTATTCTAAAATGTATTAACTTAACGCGAATAATAAAAACAAACAAAAAAGCGTAATGGTTGTTCATGTGATAGTAGTAGCACAACATCATATGGTCATGAAAATTGAGAAATTGATATACAAAAAATTTTATAAATGCTGATACAAACACAATTCAGGTTTGTAAATAATGTCTTCTCGTCCACTATCCCTAGTTTGGTCACCTCACAAAGGATCCAACCAATTTTTGGTTGATTCTAATAATGATTTGAGGTTGTATGAATATAATCCAAAGGTTCGCTCGTTTCGTTCAAGAATTCCTTATTTGGTCACTTCTGTTGTTGGTTTCATTACCATGTTAAATTGCCATTATTTCTTCAGGAACCGGTCAATTTAAATTTTAGAACTATTGTTCTTCCTCCTCCCGATCCTCCTTCTAGATTGACGGTCTGAATTCTTAATTTTATACGTTATTTATTCCATGACAGCTTGGTTCAATTGAATTTATCCCATTTTCATTTAGTATTACACGTGGTCTCCGGACAGTAATTATAAAGGTCTTTTAGCCGCCGGTTACTCGAATGGCAAAATTTTCTTGGGAAACTTTTGCGATGAGGATCAGATCTCCACGAACGCATCTATAAGCATCCAAAAACAATCTCATGGTACATTGTCCATCAAATCCATTAGATCATGTAATGCAATGGCGTTTTGTCCATATGAACCGCGGCTTTTGGCAGTGGGATATGAAAGAATGAGAACCGAATATTCTCTGTTGATATGGGATGTCGAACAAGCAAGAATTATAAATAGTTTTGGAAATAACAAAAATTACGGTGCAAATGGTTCGCCCAATGAACCTTCCACTAAGATCGGAGGCAACAACGGGTCAAACTTGCAGAATGACGTTGGTGATTTGGGAATTCAAGGAACGATGGTCGCAGCAGATGGGCAAGGTTGGAAATAAATGGTTTCTGGAAAATCTTTTATCATCGTATTTTAGAATAAACAAGAAAAAAATTTCTTTTGTGATTCAGTAATTTCGCGTCCTTCAATTGTAACCAGGTGAATATTTTTTAATGATTTTTAGGTTCACCTTTTCCAATCTATTGATTGTTTCTTTCCTCCTTTCGCACAAAAACTAGTCATAACCGCATTGAAGATATGAGACCAAAGAATACTTTTGGTTTTGGAGAGAATGTTGTATCTTGTTCTTGGTATTCAAATAGAAAAAGATTGGTATCTGGCGTGCAATCAAAGAATTTGAAATTTTATGACTTAAGAAGTATATAATTTTGTCGAACCTTCATTTAATAATTTGTGATGACAAGGTTATATAACAACACATATGCTTTAATATAGAGGAAGGTCATACTCATGTGATACCTACGAGAGCCGTTTATGGTGTGACGGGAGATCCTCATCGCGAACACCGTATTGCTAGTTACGAAGATGGTAATATCTATTTATGGGATGACCGTAAATCCACAGAATCGATATCCTTTTTTTTTTGTTGGCCGATGTGAATTTAGCTGCAAAATCCAATTATTATTTCTTGACATTTATTTTTAATATTATTACTTATTAAGTATACCGGCAAGGCCCAGTCAAATATCTTTTTCACCAACACGCGCAGGTTTTCTTGCCTCTTTAGAAAAGGATTCAAATTACATAACGTTATATGACATAGAAGATTGCATGCCGAATATTGCTCCGGCGCCATTAAATAGGAATCCATCTTTTAACGGTACCGATTCAGGTGGAGCGTTGAACGAGGTTCCGCCCGTAAGAAATATTGCCGGATACGTGTCTGCAGGTTGTTAGGAGGTGGTGTGATGATAATTGGAATAGTCTTGAGTGAGAATTTGAATGATGACATTTTGAAAATTAATTAGGAATGACAGACGACGAATCCGGCATTCCAATTTTATGGAAATCTAGGAGAAGTGGGTTTTCGGCATATTATCGTGTAATTTTTCGTCTTATTTTCAATTTATTGAGAACAATTTATTATACCCAATGATTCCTTCTTTTTTTTCAGTTAATTCCAATTCACCAAAAAATCTTGCTTTATTCTCGTGGATATCAACCTTCACTTCACCGTACAATCATTTCATGACCATAAACAAAGATGTCGAATTGAGGCCCCTATTCATGGAAGAGGCTCCTCCGTTCAATTGGGGATCCGGTGGCAGCATAGTTATTTCTAAAGCAAAAAGTTTTTTTGAACTTGATCCGACACACGAGGAAACTCGGGAAACAACCAATGAACACCCTGTTGAGCATCCTGAAGAAAAACAGAGTAACCTGTCGATCAAGGGAGACGCTGGACAGAAGCAACGTGTCTCTTTAAATCTGAAATTAGATCACTATGAAGATACATCACGACCTGATGATTTGAATAAGGATTCGAACGCTGTCTCACCACGGCAATTCAAAAGCATATTGACAAATCAGAACCACAAATCACAAGACGGGGAAATGGATGGTAATGCGTTATTGGTATCAAATACGTTGAACTTGATGCAAGAGGATATTTCGCTGGTGATGCATAAACGGGCGATGAGCGGGTATTCGATGACCGTAAGTTTTACTATATTAGTGGTAGTGAGGGGTAGTTAATTGTAAATAGACCATTGAATTCCAAACCATGATCTTGTAACTTGATAGTGTCAAGTAAATGAAGAAATTGTGAAAGAAGCACCAATGTTAAAGGCTTTATGGAGTTGGATAGCTCGTAAGCGAACATATACGTTTATTTGATTTTTCAACAATTCAACAGCTACAAAATTTGATTAACGAGTCTTTTCGACCGCCTCACAAATGTAGAGGCCGAAAAACTTGCAGATGGAAAAGCAACGATTGGGAACATTGATCATAGCTATCATGGTGTTTATTCAGTGTGGACAGGTTAGAATTGATTTAATTTAGTATGAAATTTCACGTGTTTTTATACTTTACCTTATTACCTTTATTCATTAATTTCCATTGCAGCGTCGGCTGCTGTAAAAAAACAATCACCCAAGCCTTCTTTGATAAATGAAGAAGCAATAGATCCCGAAACTTTAAATGATAGTGATACGTTCACAATCACCACTTCAAAATTACAGCAAAGGAAATTGTCACTGGCTATATGTGGATGGGGATTTGAAAAAAATGAGTTGGAGAATACGCTTCTCAAGTTAGTAAAATGAACTCATTTTCGTTTCAAGAGATGTTCGTGCAAATAATCTTTTTGAAATTTTAGAATGGTGCAGTCTGGTAATTTTGAAAAGGCTGCAGGTTGGGCCCTGTTCCACGGAGAGACAGAACGAGCCATTGAAATTTTGAACAATAGTCAAAGTATTAATCAATGATTATCACTTATATTTGATACTTTCTTTTAACTTTTATTGATCACGTGTCTACATTTTTATTGAAAGATGAGCGGTTGAAATTAGTGTCCACTAATCTCGCCAGCTTTTATTTGAGCAATAGAGAAGAATATCGAGAGAATCTGCTTTGGCGAAATATATGCAAGAGTTTAAGTTACGAGATGAGGGATCCTTATCTACGGGCAATTTTTTCGTACATGGCTTCTGGTCACTGGGATGATGTGCTACGAGAAGATGAGCTTGAGCTACGAGATCGTGTTGGCGTGGCGTTAAGATTCTTAGATGATGATAAGGTAGCTAACAATATCTTCATATTCATCCCTTCGTTTTTGCGTATGGATGTACAGTTTCTTATGACTTGATTCCACCAATAAATTAGTTAAGTGCTTATCTATATGAAACCACCGAGAACGTTAAAAAAGCAGGAAACGTTGCCGGGGTAATCTTGACAGGATTGACTCCCGAGGGAGTAACCTTATTTGAAAATTATGTGAACAAT